GGACTGTGTAAGGATGATACTGAGGTCAACCTCTTGCAGTGGAGTGTACGAGAAGGCATCAAAGAGGCGCAGGGTGGGCTGACGACGCAAAGATATCCAAACACCATCACGGACCCAACACATGCACTTCACCTGAGTGGTCGCGGCTGGATGGACCTCGAATCTACAATAGAGGGGGAGGACCAGAAGGAAGAGGGTCAGCAAGGCGGTTGAGAAGTGATGAGAGGGAGGGGGTGAGTCTCTGTCATATACAATTGCATAGAGACGTGGAAATCAAGTTAGTCATGATTAACAGCAGAATATGCCTACAGACACGAGACGGCAGCGGTTTCCGTACAACACGTACAATTCAACAACGAGAAGAGCTGTGAGTTACGGGTGAGGATCGAGTAGCATCAGTCTTCAACTAATCTCACGTCTATTGAATCGTATTAAAATGAGTTAGAAGAGAGGGACTTAATAAAAGGTTGCATTGTTAGCTGGTTATGCCCCCTTCGAAAAGGGTGAATCGTTATGACGAACCTTAGCAGAGATCAAACATGACAGTAGGACATTAAAAGGCGGGGGAGAGGTGGATAAGGACTACATGCCCCCACCCCTTTCCTCTAAACAGGACACAGGAATAGGAACAACCCGGCAAAGTCATTAAGGTGGCCCTGAACAAAACTACAGAAAGGGCAACGTTTCCTGTGTCCCAACTTTAACACGAGCCATAATATATACCCAAACCGTAGCCCTAATCCTATAGTGAACACTAACCCAAGCCTTAATCTAAACATAACCCAAACCTAAACTTAAATCTAAGCTCGAACTGATTTTACACCGTAATTTTAAGTCAAACCCAGCCTTTCCTGAAAGTTGGCGCAAATCCACCTGCACTACGAGCGGTTCTTGTCATCATGTGCTGTTTAGGGACCATATAAGCGCTGATTCAGTGCCTACATCGGATGCCGCCTCACCTCGATTTGATTCAATCTTACAAGTGGGAGATTGTGACTGGGCCTACTATGCGGCCTAGATGACACAATGAATGCCCTCTGAACGGCCCATGTGGTAGATGCGCTGGACTGATAC